GATTCTCTTTCCTTTGGCATATCTCTCTTCTGGTCCCCAAAGTTCCTAATCCTTACACTTTCTACTTGAGAGGCTCTGTACGGAAGGAACAACATCTGGAAGATGCATTTAGCACAGAGCATCCCTCTTCCTCCAGGCTCTGCCTGCAGAACTTGGATGTTCTGTTTAGTGTATGCTTGACTCTAAATGGATCAGCTTTCTGAATCCTCCTTTGGGATTTTTCCTGCCTTTCCCCCCTTCCTCCTTTTTGAACTTTGGCAGATGAGACTTTCAGTAAACCTATGCATCTTTCTTAGCTTTTGCTGTACAATTTCAACGCATAGAAATAGGGGCAAAACCAACAACCCATACCACTTCTTTTGAAGCTCTTAAGATCATTTCCCTGTGAGGGGAGGCAGCTCAAATCATTACTGAATGAATATATTTTTCATTCCTTTTTATTAAGAGTTTTTTTCTTCTATTGTGATTTTTAAAATTCTGATAGAATCAAGAAAAAAGTACTGGATGTTTTGCTCTTGCAGATACAGAGTTCGTGTTTTCAAGATGAAAAGACCCATAGGAAAAGTATAGAATGAGAGCTTTGTTTACATTTCTTTAGTCATCTAGTCTCCAAAATGTTCTTTCTCCAGATTTCCCCATTCCTGTTTGAGTTATTATGATTCTTCCCTTTACCCGAGCTTGACAAAATGGAACCCATCTTTGAAACCTGGGTCTTCTTTCCTCCATCACTGACTGTCAAGTTCCATCTGTCTGTTTTTTCCCATTCCTTCTTCAACCAGGATTTGTATGTAGAAATAGCTTGGAGGTAGCAACATGGAGGCTGGGACAAGAGGACTTGCCTCTTTTTATTTAGCTTCTTTGTTTGCTTTTTGAGTAGCTTGGGTGACCCCCTGCTTCCGCCCCCTCTATCAAATCCTTTATTTCCTCATGCCCAGGATACTGACTTCAGTCTTTTGCCATCCCAATCCTTCCTGCATACAACACTAGCATAACCTTCCTAAATAGGACTTTAACCAACATACTCTTCAGTGACTCCCTAATGCCTGCTAGGACCATCCACCTGAGGTTGACACCCACGGTTCAGCCTCCACATACCTGTCAGAGATAAATCAGTCATGTATCCTCACAACTGTAGCACAAGACAGGCTTTCTTTTGAATTCCAGTCTCTATGCTTTCTTCATTATTTTTTCCGCATGTTATGCCCGACCTCTTCCAATTTGAATCTTGCTCTTCTATAAGGCTTGACTTAAATCCTGCCTTCTCCAAGAGGCTTTCTTTGATCATCATTTTTCATCTGATCTAAGTCATCTTCACATACAGGACATAGAACTGTTTCATTTACCAGTAAGATGAGAAAACAGCTGTCAATTAAACTAGGATGCATTGCTTTTCTAGAAGTTTAATTTAATTGAAAAAGCTGTCTTAGACTTACTTAAACACAGATCAAACAAGCCATATATCCCTCTTGTGCATCCATACAAAAATAAGTGCAATGAATTGGCTAAGAAATTTCTAAAACTTCTTCATATTCAGGGTGTGACTCTTCTGGGATTCTTTCCCTCCACAGTCACTCACTCTGTAAGTTGTGATGCTGGTGTTTTCTTGATCTTCCCAGAAGGTGTCAGTGGAAGATTTTCAGAAAACAGCCAGGACATACATTCCTTCCTCAAATGCGTTGCCAGTGGTTTATTCCCATCGAGGTGCTGCTGTGGCCCCATCAAGCCACCAGAGGGACAACTGAGTTTGCACAAACTCTGGTAATGACAACTCCCTCATGAAGGTGGCCGACCAACGGCAGTTACAACGCTGCCTATCAGATGCACCTAATTTCGATACAGTAAAAAGTACAAAAAAGGGGCAACTCAGGATGGATAAAATATGGTACTTTCTCATCCCACTGAACGCATCTGCCATTTTTATATGCTGCCCGCTGTATCATTGTTTACAAGGCCGTTAAACTGATGAATGTGTTTGGATCTGCTGGCCTCAGTAACACATTCCTAGAGATGGAAATCGGCAAAAAATGTGTAGATGGTGACTGATAAAACTTGGATCCATTTCTTTCTTGGGACCGACTCAGAAATCAAGACCAAAATTTCCAAACAGCCTTAGACTGGAATTGGTGGGTTACGTTCAATTCCTTGGGAATTTCTCTGCAAAAAGGTAGCTCTACCTTTTTTTGCAACTAAAAAATATAGTTATATGTTTCATCTATGAGATGCCTGTGAGGATCCAGGAATTTTACTTAGAATTAAATCATCACAAGTTTCGTGGGTAGGTGGGCTTATTTTCTATTTCACAACTTAGGAAAGAAAAGCTTTGATGTCCTCTTGCTGGAAGAGGACCAAGCTGGGATTTAAATCTGGGTCTGTCTGACCTCAGTGCTTGTACTTTCTATTTCAGCACACGGCATAAGTTGTACACACAAGGCTGCAAGGCCCCGAGTAGGTGACTCTCCATAATTCAGGGATGGAGAGCCCAGGAATGTGAGCACAACGTGGTCATAACTCAGAATACAGATCCAGGCGAATCTTGCACCGTCTTTGCTTTTTCTAAGGCACGTTTCACAATTTGTAATTATATCTTATTTATAATTATAGATTTATCATTATGTTATTTGTTTAATATCTTCCCTCAACGAAGGCAGGAAGGATGGTTTTTCATTGATTCTGAGATGTACATATTTCACATTTTAACATCTGCGATTTCAGAATGCCTCTTAAAATTGAGGTTGCGTTTAATTGGTAGCATTTTATCTTTCTCTTTGAGTGTTCCATAAAATAATTATGCATGTCATAATTAATGTTTTACTGTTTGATTATGTGTTTTTTAATTAACTGCTCTATGCTTCATATGCAGTATTGTTGCCTTGCCCCATATAAGGCACTCACAGACATTGTTGAATGAATGAATGAGTGAATGAATGAAAGAAAGAAAGTGGAACTTTAAACCTTGCCTGAAGGTACTTGGATTTCTGGATGAAATCTCCTGCCTCTGTGAGGCCCATTGTCCACTCTTATTTTCTCATTGTGTCTGATTTAAGATTTGTTTATGGCCAGTATTCTCAGCCTGGAAGAGTGTGTTGTCTGCCCAGATAGGGCCGGAGAGACCCTGGCCTAGGAGTTCCTGTAGGAGGAGTCTTGCCCACTGTTGCCTGGTGGAAAGCACTCATACGGAAACCCTCCTGAGTCTTCCTCCAAGTAATGTTTGACAACTCTTCTCCAGCAACCAGAAATCAATTTTATTTCAGGCCGACAATGAGGGGGCAGATGGTCAGATGTAGATTCAGGCTTGTGCTTTGCCTTGTTTGTGCTGCTAATGACAATTCTCAGTTAGCCTCCTCCGTTTGAGGGGATCCCTTAAGACACCTGCCCCTGTCATGCCCAAGAGTGGTTGAAATTCAGCCATAGAGGTTGGAAGACTTTGCAGTTTACCATGAAGCCTCAAGAGAGCCACAGTTACGCCTGCCAAACACAGAATGAATGCCATCAGCCATCTGTGGAGATTTTTCCAGAAGGTAACTCTCCCCAAAGAGATAATGTTGTAAATGGGCTGCTGGAACGAGGACAGTGCCTGACGTACCATTAGGGAAGCGCTGTGTAATGTAACTAATGAAAGATAAGCAGACACATAATGAAGTGTAACCTCTGTCCAGAGGTCATGCATTCACTGAGGATTCTTGGGACTGATACTAAGATGCTGAGCAAGGGAGATGAGAAAATACTGCTATTTGCTGGTGACCTTTTAACACCACGCAGAGGAGAATGACTTGTAGTCTAGATACCATCTTCATTCACAGTTAGAACAGGAAGCAGCCTCTCACCAATACCCAGAGGTTGATTTCAAAAATGTCCCATAAACAAACTCTAACTTCCTATGCTCTATTTTTTGCTTATATTCAGGTCTGAGTCTTGTCTCTTGTATTAACCCTACACATGGAGGCCACTCCCTAGTGTTGGTGTTAGTGTTGACCAGGTGAATCTCCCAAGTTCAGGTACCAGACTCGCCTCCTAAGCAGTAGGTGTTTTAAAACCAAATTAGCATCTTCACTTTCCTGTCAGTCTTATAAGGTTAATTAGCAGAATATTAGCTGGATGAGTCCTCTGTTTCCTGATTATCCTTGGGATTTGAGTTCCCGAGACTTGAACTCCAGGGTCTAAATCCTAGATTTAAAATGCCCATCCTTAAGTGTCCTGCTTTTTATTCATCTTGTTGAGAGAAACCATACATATTAGAGTCCTCAGATCATGCTGGCTGTGGTTTGCCGTTCTTGTCCTCCCAGTAAGGATGATCAAGATGTTTACTCACATAGAATAAATTACCTCGGTTTATTTGTATGTGCAACTGGGTGAGCAAAAGTAATTTATGGACATCATTTGTTATTTGCATATGAAATAGGCTTCTGTTCTTTATGGGGAGGAAATGGCTCCTTTGGGTCACAATTAGCCTATCTGGCAATTAGTCACAATTAGTCACAAAGCTGGCAGTTAATTGTGCACACAAAGTTGTTGAGGCAAAGTAATCCTGAATTTCTTGACTTGAGCGATTTATTCAGAGTGGCTTTCTCTGCTTTCTATTTTGATACAGTCTAAAGTTTCTCACTGTTCAAATAAATTATTCAAATATCTATTGACTCCAAGCTTACTGTTGGGAAGCGTCTAGAATTAAAGGACCATCAGGAGTGTTGTAACCGAGCAGTTCAGATGCTTTGATTGGCTGAGGAACACGCCCGAGAGGCACGGTTAAACCATATGGCTGTCAACAGCATTGCCCTAACAACAGGCTTTGGAACAGAGGAGAGGCCCAAGGGGAGAGACTCTAGAAGGAACCCTTGAATATGGTGAATAGTACATGCAAAGTGGAAATGTGAGGGTGGATTTCTGGTCCTTCAGAGAAGTTTTCTCTTGAAAGCTTGGTTGGATGAGGAGTAGGCCTCCCCGAGTTAGAGGATCATTCAGGAAGAGCTCTGACCACTGCATGCCCTGAACAGACTTCTGTGATGTTTCGGATCGGTAGGAGACAACTCTGGAAGCAGAGCGTCACCCGTATTTTAACGGTAAGGAGCTGTTGTCTGTAAATTTGCAAGGGCGTCTTGGATGATCATATTTCACACCTGGGTGGAAAAATACCTAAAAACAATTCAAAGTCATGTTCTGATGCATTTGTGAGAAACGTGTTTGTTTACTAATGTTTGGGTGGTTCATAATGCTACATGCTGATATTTCAAATACAGAAAAAAAAAAAGGGGGACTGTATCTTCCGGCTTTCGTGCACATTGCCGCCCCAACAGTAACTACTTGGAGGGATACATGCTGAGTCTTTGGGGATGATGCTCAGTCTGAGGGGGAGAAATGCCTTCAGGACGCGTTGGTGACTTGGCATTCTTTCAGACCTGGAAGGTTTTTGTTGGTAACCGGAGATAGTCAAGGCAGATTCTAGGCGGCAAGTTCTCGAGGCTCTTTGGAATCATTCCCCCTTTTCTGTAGGCCTGGACATGAGGTTACAGACTGGGAGATGCAAGGATGTGCCTTTGGAATCACATTGAAAAATGAACTTCCCTGGCAAAGGGCTCAGCTCTGGGGTTTTTCTTAGGCAGATGCAGAGAGGGATTTGGAACCTTTTCCTGCCAAGGGATGTTGGGAGAAAGGTGGAGGTTGCTCTAGGACTCTGTTCTCAACATTAACCCACGCTTCCTCAGGGCGGTATCTCTATGTTTGCTGTGCATCCCCAGCAGCCCAGGTGATTCTGGCTAGCCTTGCAACCTGCTCTTTCACCACCAAACAGCAGGGATGCAGTCTCTGCATTGCTCAGCACTGCGCCACCAGCCACCCTCCACTTCCCCAGTCCCACCATTCTGATGCATCCTTTCCAAGGTCAACATCTTTCAGCTGAGCTCTGGAACTTGTTTGCCTGCAAACACTCATTCTTTAAGACCAAATGCCAGCAGCACCTCCTCTGAGAAGCCCTCCTAGCACTTTGCTTCTGCATCTGCTAGTGCCCTTGTCCTATCGCAGCAGGGAAGTGACATTTGTCTACATATCCCCTTCCCTCACTAGATTGTGAGTTCCTGGAGGACAGGGGTGATGGGCTTTCAGGTTTAGATAGTCTTCCCCTAGCACAGAGCCTGACACTGATAGGCCCTAATTTTATGCTTAGTTAATAAAGTGAGTGAATTAAACTTCTCACGTGTCTGAATATTTTTCCTGTACCTTACTACCAAGTCTAAAACATTAAACTCGATGATTTTGTATCTTGACTATGTATGGTTTAATGAATTATATTCTTCTTTGGCACGAGCTACCGTTTGGAAGTAAGCTTTTGGGGGGTTTCATTTCTATATTTTGGGTGCTGGTTCTGTTCTCTCCACTGAAGAATGAGATTAACAGAATTACCTCAATAAGGTTGCAGTGTAGTGTGTAAATAATTACACATTTTCTACATAGTGCACTGATACGACAATTTATTAAATTATAACTTTGTGACCTAAAATAATCAATGACCAAGATTCCAAAGCTACTTAACATAAAAACTATAAATCTCTATGTCCAGAACCTTGGTCTGAAGGTATTACTGCAATGATGCTATCTTATAATACAAATAACAACCAAAAGTACCATAAGCTCCTCAGTTTAGAAAAGTGAAGCCATACATCCTTTCTGTTGTATAGTAAACAAAAATGCTTTCCATGAAAAAACCTGAAATAATTCTGTATATATTCACTCACTTATTTACAAAAATATGGCCCAGATATGTCTGCCTTCTTTCTGCTTTTCTCATAGATGAACAGAGCTTAATATGAACTTAAAAGTGTTCAATGGACATGAGTTCCAGACTTAGGGATTCTGTTTTCTTTCCTCCTCTAAAATTAAACCGAAATATGTAATTTTGCTGGTTGACTTTGTTGACTTTCAGAAGAAAACTCGAAAGGTTTGTGACGGTCCTCTTGACTTAAATTCACCTTAATTGCAAAGCTGATTTTAAAATGAAGAATAGTTCTCTCCTATCTGCAGGGATGTATATTGTTCATGTTTTGCCATGTATGCACTTGTGCTAGGGAATATTGTTGCTCATCGAATTTCAGATTGCTAGGCTTTTCTAAATAGTGATTCTCGGGGGCATAGAGACTGGGTGGGGGGGAAGAGAAGGGGCAGGCCCCTTGGGGGAGGCACAGTGCCTTCCCCTGCTGAGAAACTCTGCAGGTGGGGCTACCATTGTTCCTTGAGAGTGCGTGGGTAGAAACCAAGACAGAAAAGAACCTTTGCTCTCAGATATCTTTTGAAAGTTTAAAGGGTGTGTGTTTTGTTATCCTCTGGCAAAACAGCCAAACAGGTCTCAGTGTACTCTGTTCATCAGGCCCAGGCATGTTCGGCCGGTGAACACATTTCACACATATAATAGAGTATACAATATGAAAACAATTCTCTTGCAGCTCAGGGAGGTGAATGGCTCTAGGATTCAGCTGGGGAGTGGGGAGGGGGCAGGTACTACTTGTTAATGCTTCGGTGCGTATTCCTGAGCCTGAATGAGTTAATGCTCAAGATGCCCAAATCACCGTCATGCCACAGCTGGACCCTGGGAGAGCGCGGTTAAGGGCAAAATCCATCCGTGCCACAAAATCCATCCATGCCACAAAATCCATCCGTGCCACAAATACCTGTCGAATGCTTACTTTGTGCCAGGTGCTGCTGTATTCCATGACTGGGCAGCTGGGAACACTTCTGGGCCTCATCAAGTTTAGGGCTGAAACTAGTGCTAATGGTCAGCGTTGGCATCATGCCAGTAATGAGAAGGAAAAAAGACGTCTCGAGTTGGAGTCATCCCAAATTTATGCCCCTGGACTTTCTCTGTTAAGTTCCTACCTCAGGTGACAACCTGGTTGTACTCCTCAATCACGATCAGTTCATAAAATGATTTCCTTTGGAGCAGTGTTGTAGGTTAGAATTGCCTGAGAAATACCAGTGCTCAGGGCCCCCTTGGGACAAGATAAGTTAGAGTTCTGGGGTGGAGGTAGGCATCAGTATTTTAAAACTCCCCATGATTCTAATGAGCAGCCAGCTTTAAGTACTCTGGTTTATTGTGATGAATAAGGGAATTTTTGAATTTCGTTCCTGTGCCATAGGTAATGTGAATGGTGGCATCATATATATTTTGGCTTGTGGGTGAAATTATATGGCTACTTGAATTATATGGCGCCTGTGGCCAGAGGGAACTCTTGGAATTCCACAAGAGAGGTATTCCTGATTTCCATTGTGGGGTGGGAGGGAAGATAGAATATGTGGCCATGTGCAGGCCCACTAAGGACCTTTGATCAGATCTCAAAATTTGGTGTGCAGAAAACAGAGTGTGAGTTAGAATGTGGATGATGGAATGTTGGGGGCAGAGAAGGTTGTGGTGATGGGGACATCCCTCCAGCAGGTCGTGGTGATGGGGACATCCCTCCAACAGGTTTTGGATAGATTTGGGTGAAAAATCCACATATTGTAAAAGGTAAATAGGGGATCTTTTACTGGCCTGGAAAGAATGACAGATAAGGGTGTGAGTAAATGGGGAGATTTGGGGGTCCTGAGAACTCCAGCGAAAATAGACAAGATTCCAGAACTTACTTTTAGGACAAGAAGATTGATGGGATCTTCTCAGTTTAAGTGCTGTCTCTTTGCAATGGAGGGGAGCGCAGCTCTCATTGTATAAAGGAGGACTTCACTGTAGCACCTGCTGTGAGTGGGATTAGCCATTGTGGAGTGTCTTTTCCTTCCAGAAACCACTTTGCTGGAGTGCTCTTCATGTGGGAAGGAGGTGCCGTGCGCTTCCTCTGTGTGTGTGGCCCTTCACCAGGAGAAATGAAAGGATGGGGCTAAGAGAAGGCAGGATGTGAAAAGCACAGTTAGGAGTGGAGAGTTGCTGGGCTGTGAGCCTCCCAGCCAGTTAAAGATCAGGTTTGGATGCTCTAGGAAGCATCACACAACGGCCACTCCCAGGGCAAATGGGGCCCTGTGGGTCAAAATGAAAATGCTGGAAAAGAGGAAGGCTTCCTCTTCCAAATAAATTTGTTGGAAGACATAGAAAGTGGGTTGACTTTGTAGAGAGGTCTCTACATGGAAGTGAGCAGGAGAACCACTTCCCTCCATTTTCGTCAATCAACACATTGAAGTAGGATATAGGTGAGGTAAGCTTAGTTATATTTGCTGTAAATTGAGGGAAAGCTATAATCCACATTCATGGTAGGATTTTGTGCAGTGGTTTATGCTTGAGACACAACAGTATTGAAGACCTAGGAGCTTATTGACTGAATTCCGAGCCTGCAATCATGGGCTCAGATTGCACTAGAATAATGTTTTCCAGCCCTTAATTACTTGAGAGTGGCTTGTAAATGATTAATTTGGTTAATTTATCCACTCATTAGATATCAATTGAGGCTCTACTATGTGCCAGGGACTGTTCTAGGCCCTGGGGATATTGCAAAAATTAAAATAGAAAACATCCCTCTCTGTGGAGCTGATACTCTTGCAGGAATGATGAGATTTAGTTGATATTTATTTTATTTTAACCCTCAAGAGATAAGGAGGATCAGGTTATACATGTGGCAGATTACCAATAATGAGGCATTTCAGCTGGGCATATGCTTTGAATAATTTCTTTTTCTGCTCATGGATTTGCCTGATTCATCCACAGTTGGGGAAGATGATATAAAGTGAAGCTAACTGACCTCAGATGATCAAACCCATGTCCTTGGCCTCTTTGGTACTGTGTTTCATCAAGTGATTAATTATCTGTGGACTTGAGATTGATATTGAGAGCCAAAGCAGAATCAGTCTCAGAGGTACTTACTGTGGTCATTTAAGATAAGGAGTTTCACCTGTAATTCATGGACTCACTTTATTTACAGTTATCTCCAGTGAGGATTTTAATCTAGATTATACTCTCCTCTACCATGTTTGTTACATTGCTGTATGCATCTGTACACATAAAAGAACAAAACGCCCAGATCAAGAAAATAGAAATATATTCATTCAAAGATATGCAACTGACTGTCAGCAAAACAGATCTCTTTCTTTTTCTCACATTCATACCTGCAACAAGGCTACTCATGTCACCTGGAAAAACTTTTTTTTTTTTAAACAAATATTTTTTTGGCTGCAGAACCCATTCCGTGCCCCATACACTTCACTGTGCAAAGGCGTCCAATGAAGACCTGGGGTATACAGTATGATATAGATAAAAGTGAAGTTGTTCAGGCAAAAGCAGCAACACTGGGAAAAGCATGGAGTCCAGCCTACTGGCTGCCCAAGCAGGGAGCCCACCTTCTAGGCACTTTTAGGAGTTGAGGATGGAAGGTTACCGTTTGCTGAGACACAAGAGTGCGATGAGAGAGCTGGACTCAGGGCATGCCAGCTCCATAGTGCTAGTCCATACTAGCACTAAAATGTCTCTGGTGTAACTAAGAAAATGGCACCCATTAACCTCAGTTTCCTCCCCCCCCCCACATACACACATACAGCTCCTTCTATAACCCATGCAATGTATATGGGGAGACCCCCAAGAGTGCCCTAGATAATCCTTGAGTGGAAATTTAAAGAAACAATGTTTATAGAATATCAATTTGAATGGACGCGAAATTCTTGGTAGCCTGGGACAACCATGTCTTGGCCTGGCCCTGCAAAGACAACAAGGCTTGGTTTCCCAGTCCTGCCACTTACTGAGCTGTGTGCTCTTAGGAAATTGTTCATGGTCCATAGTCTCCGTTTCTTTGTGTAGAGATAGTAATGTCTGCTTCGTGGGCCTTTTGTGACAATGAAACCTAACCAAAGTAAGTGAGTGATGACTAGTAGAGCTAGAGCTATAACACTGTCACCTGGGCAAACAGAGCGAAATGTACTCTGACGCCATCAGGAGGGTTAGGGACAAGGGTGTCCCTGCTCAGCCACAAAGGGGCTCCTAGACCCGACATTCACTTCCAGTTGCCAGTGATGTCAGTGGGGTAGACCTGGGTCTGAGACAGACCTGCCAACGGGGCTGGGCTTTCTAAGGGTGGAGGGAGTTTAAACATTTGTACAATTAAAACATTTTTTTTTTTTAAAGATTTATTTATTCATTTGAGAGAGCGAGAATGAGAGAGAGTACATGAGAGGGGGCAGGGTCAGAGGGAGAAGCAGGCTCCTCGCCGAGCAGGGAGCCCGATGCGGGACTCGATCCCGGGACTCCAGGATCATGACCTGAGCCGAAGGCAGTTGCTTAACCAACTGAGCCACCCAGGCGCCCCAATTAAAACATTATTGAAAAGTTTTGTTCCTCCTGAATTTTAATGTCCAGGGTCAATGCCTTGGTCATGCCATTTTAATTCAAGCGCTGGTTGACTTAGTATTATTTCAAGACTGCTCCCAATTTAATCTTCACAATTACCTTTCAGGTTTGGACCTGTATCTTTATTTTACGGATGAGAGTAAGGTCTTTCATATGGTTGGGGATTGTCAACCTGGAGGCAAAGTGAAATGTTTGTGGCCTGTATACAGGCATGCAGACTTGTGCTTAACTGTAGAGTCAAAGGCAAAAGTTAGTATATTAAAAAGATGGAATGGGTAGGTTTGTCATGAGAAAACTTCACAGAGCTTTATTATGAAAGCACATGCTGTGGGTCTTTGTTGCGATTCGTATTTTAAAATCTCATGTCTCTTGTCCGTGTTAACTTTTGATCCAATGAGAAGGAGCTCCGACGGTGGAGAAGGAATGGCACTTAGCTGTCAGCTCGTCTAATGCTTGGAGTGTGGATTTACGGAAATGAAAGTCTGGAGAGGTTGACTGACAGATGCAAGTGGCAGAGCCGGGACCGGAACCCAGGACCCCTCTGACACCCAGGGCTTGTTGGTCCACATGAGCTCTCTGAGCTAGCACATTAGCTACCCTTTTCTTCCAGGGTGGCCGCAATGTACCTTGTCACCAAATCGCAGAAATGTTTGACTACTTTCTAGGTTTCTTTGGACATCAAATAGGTTTCCCAGCACCTCCCCACCCCCATCCTTTGGTGATTGCTCATGCAACACAAAACAGTTTTAATGTGACTCTTAAAAAAATATTCCATGGTCCACCTATTGCTGTTTTCATACCACTCCACTCTCCCACTCCAAGTGTCCTTCATGTTGAAACATGGAGGCCGACAGGACAGCCACCTCCAGATAGCCGGTCACTGACTGCTGGTTGCTGCCATTTCCTAGTAGCCAGAAAGCTGCAGGCTTAAGTGTATGGGCTGACAGTGCTCCGATCTGGTCACTAAATACTTGTTTGACGTTACTGACCTCTTGTGATAGTAAAAAACCAATTCCCTCATTGTACCAGGATACTTTAGGATATGGCAGTGAGAGTTGAGATGGACAAACATGGGGTCTTTCCTCTACGTGGCTCCTGGGGCTTGCTTCATATTACTTGTCTTTAGAGATACAACAATCAGTTTATACAAGAACATACTTGTTGCTTAACATGCTTTTTAGCATAGCTTTGAAAACATTTACTTTAAAAACACATTGATAATTCTCTTTGTACACATGACACTTCTTCGGAATTTTTCTTCCTATGTGATACTTAAGTAAAAATAGAATAATTAGTGTTCTGTTTTAGGGACCAATCTCTCCTTTCCTCCACTAGAATATATATAATTTTTTTTTCCTTTGGAGTCTTATAAAATCAGGTCACAGAGAATGTGTTGCCATGGTAGAGTCTTATTTCAGTTTCTCTATTCTTCGGGAGCCTTCAGTTGCTTCACATCCGGACTCTTCTGGTTCTCTGGTTCTTTTCTTTCTTTGTTACTACCCAGCATTGGCCATCTTGTTTTGATGTCCGATTCCTGGCTCCCCTGATTGCCCACCATGTTCTCAAGCTGCTGAAGCCATTTAGTACAAACCCTGAGAGTTCACTTTGAAAAGCATTTTTTCCTCCCTGCTAAGAAGGAAGAAAATAGTCGTAACAACAGAACATTGTCCTTGTTTTAGCCATGTTTGAAAAAAGATTTAAATTTACTTCTATTTGATGTTTATGGAATGTATACTTTGTGTCAGGACCCGTGTTAGTTCCTCTAGGGAGAAATGGCAAAAAAAAAATAGGTATATTGTTTGTTATTATTTTTTAAACCTTAATCCCTCCCTCCACCCCCAATTTTTCTTTCGAGCAGTCCCTTCAGGTTCTGGAAAACAAATGTTAATTGCATGGGTCCAGGGATGGCCTTTCAATCCCTCTGAAATCCCCAACTTTTTCTCGTCACTGTTTTTTAAGTTCTTTTTGTGTCTTAAAAATTCTTTCTTTTTCTTTTTTTTGAGAGAGAGAGAGTAAGAGTGTGCATGCAAATGGCGGGGGGGGGGGATGGGGAGGGACAGAGGCAGAAGGAGAGAAAGAGAATCTTAAGCATGCTCCACACCCACCTCGGAGCCCGACAGGAGGCTCCATTTCATGACCCTGAGATCATGACCTGAGCTGAAATCAAGAGTTGGACTCTTAACCAACAGAACCACCCAGGAAGGCACCCTCAAAAATTCTTTCTTGATTATAAATTCCCCTCTATCTACTAGTACCATGCCTCTTTCCTTTATAGTCAAGTTCCTGGAAAGAATAGTTTATATTCAGTATCTTTGTATTTCTCTTTTCTCAATCATCTTTTTCTCAAGCATACATCGATTTGCTTTCTGTCCAATCAATGAAATTATTCTACAAGGATTACTCTATTATCTACTGCTGCATAACAAACTACACCAGAACATAATGGCTTACAGCAGCAAACATGATCTGTTATCATCTCTCTTGAGTATGTGGGTGATTGGGCTCAACTGGGGGTGGTGGTTCTGCTTCACGTGGCATTGGGTTGGGTTGCAGTGATCTGTAGGCTTGACTAGGTTGGAATGTCCAAGATAGCTTACTCACATGGAGAAAAGTTGGTTCCGGTGTGTTGGCTAGTTTGGCTGGGGCTGTTGACCAAAACACCTTGGTTTTTCTTCCATGGTCTCCCCATGTGGCTTGGACTTCTCAGCATGGTAGCTGGGTTCCCAGGGGGCATTCCCAAGCACAAAGGCAGAAACTGAAGATCTCCTAAGGATTAGCTTAGACAGGTTTTACTTTTCCGCACATTCTTTTGGTGAAAACTGGTCATAGGGCCAGCCAAATTCAAGAGGAGGGGACGTTCATGTCATGGTCATATTGCCAAAGAACTGTGGGATGCTGCAGCTACAAACACAATTAGTTACTAAGGATATCCTAACTGGTGTATCCATATTGTTGAATATTTTGCAACTATCACAGAGATAGGAATAGCCTATATTAAAGTAGAAAAAGGTCTGTGGTATATTATTAAGGGAAAATGCATAAAAAATTTTATAGTATAATATAGAGATGTGTGTATACATTTGCATATGTTTGTATGAGCATAGTGCATATGGAAGGATATGCTTCAAACTGCCCACATTGGTTATATTGAACATGCCTTAGTATTATAATCAACAATCAGTTTAAAGGTAAGCAATGGTATTCAGAAATCAATTTTAAGACCTGATAGGAATCTGTAGACAAACAATAAAGGTAGGAGATAATGTAGGAGAATATTAGTTTAAAGGCTTAGGGAATGTTTACAAAAAATGGGAATCTCTTTTTTTTGTGTGTCTATTGCATGTTTATATATGCATACAAATAAATCTGTAAAGATTTAGAACAAAATAATTGCAGTAATAATTTCTGGATGACAGATGATTTTTCTTTTTCTTTTTTCCCTTTAGCTTCTCTGTATTATACAATTTTAAAAACAATGAGCACATCTTATTTTCATAATAGAATAACATTATTTCTAAAAATGGAAGATAGTACATAAAAACTGGTACCATTATGGTGTCTGTTATCTGAATACTCAAGGCTTGAAAAAGCAATAATCACACGAAATTATTATAAAATGAATCCATTTGAGAACAGCAGTTGTCACATAACATTTTTGTTCCTTTCTTACAGCAAAGACTGAAGGAAGAGAAGGAAGCCAAACGGGCACGTTTGGATGGTAGGCATGACTACTTATTTGCGATTGTAGCTTCCTGTGTAGACCTGGACAAAACTGAAGTGGAAGATGCCATTCTTGAGGGGAATCAGGTGAGATGCATTTGATTTCTCACTGACTTGATTATGGAGGGCACAGAGAGTCTATTGACCCAGTCCTATGGCAGGATCTGTGCTGGGCTGTGGACGGGGTGTCTGTTCTAACACGGGCAAGACTCCATTCTGATGGTACAGGTGGTGGCATATTGACCTTAGGGCTCTCCAGCTCTTCATGTTGAATGGGGTACTTACAACAGTCATTTAAGTTCCATGGTTCTGACAGCAATGTCTGCATGTTTCTGAATCCAATGAAGCTGAGTTCAGGCGCCATCTTGGAACCTGAGTTTGGAGAATAGAGTCTTCTCTCAGCTTCTGATTTATTGTGTTTTACATGTATCCTGTTCTAACCTGGGTGATTGAATTGTGCCATAGTTTCCTGGCTTTGACTTTGGTTTGGCAGCTGAATCTGGTTTCTTTTGTTCCTGAACTTGACTTCCATTTTCTGCCATGATTTCCTTCCAAAATCTGGGGTGTGATTTGATTTTGGAGAGGGAAGATCAAAATATGGGGGCACCATATTTCCTGAGCACCAAGGAAGGCATATCTGGAGCGCTATGATGCTTGCTGAATTCTTGTTGTTGTTGTTGTTGTTTTATTTGTTTGTTTGTCTTTTTAGGCATAAAAATAGAGAGGGTGAGTCCTTTCTATTGATAGGGGTGTCACACTATTGATAATGTTATTTAGTGGTATGTTTATAAATGTTTAACAACCAGCTTTGAGCAAGAGGGTAGAGGGAGGCACTATTTTGAGTGTTTGGTGATTTCTGTGATGTTAATACTCCCATCATGGCTGATTCCAGACTATCAATGTGATGTTACTAAAGGCTTAGCTGGAAAGAGTTGTGATCAATTGCCTGTCATGAACCAGTATGAGCTGGCTCCAGCACTCCCCTGGCTTTGTTTCTTCCTGCCATGTTACTCTGGCGGGGTCAGTAAGAGTCAGTGGAACAATGAGGGATGGATAACACTCAAATGGCTCAACTACAGGATGGATCAATCAGGGATTGAGGAAATGCCCTTTTCCTCCCCTTTCTCCTCCTCATCACAGCTAACATTTGTTGAATATTTACCAGGCGTCAGTCTCATCTAAGTGACTTTCATCTATTATCCCATTTAATTTTCGTAATGCCAGGAGGTAGATAATTTTATTCCCCCAAAATGGAGGCATAGAAGGAGACAGAGTCACTTACCGGATTCAGTCTTAGAGAGATTGTGCCACATGTGAAATGCTTAACTCTGCCCCACTTCCCAATTCAGACATCTGGACTTGGGATCGTGCAAGTGGAATAAATGAGTAAAAGTCTGGAACTGTAGGAAGCCCAAGTTAAACTGCCTTGTCATATTCAGGACCCGGAAGGTCAAAACCTGGAGGTTGAAAGAAAACATCCTTGCTTGGGCTCACAAGCAACGTAGAGGGGCAGGAGTTTCAATACTGGCCTCTTGGAAGTACCTCCTTCACATTCTTGGCTTGAAAGTTAATCTCAACGAAGGCATCCCATGCAGCCCCATAGTTCTCAATCAAGGAAGTGTGATGAAGGAAACAGGGCAACTTGCTCTTCCTTATATATATATAATAGTTATGTCTATAATATGGGGGAAATCGAAGGGGGCTTATTTTTTCCACAGTTAAATTTTCACACTAGAGTTTATCATTTGGAAACATTTTATTTTAAATTGTGGTAATGACATAGAATGTAAAATTTACCATCTTAACCTTTTTTTTTTTTTAAGTAGGCTCCACATCCTACAACACTGAGATTAAGACCTGAGCTGAAATCAAGAGTCGGACGCTTAACCGACTGAGCCACCCAGGCGCCCCATTAATCATTTTTAAGTATACAGTTCAGTACTGTGAAGTATGTTCACATTGTTGGGTAACCAATCTTCAGAACTCTTCGTCTTGTGAAACTGAAACTCGATATCATCAAACAACCCATCCCCCCAGCCCCTGAAAACCACTATTCTATTTTCTGTCTCTCTGAATTTGACTACTTTAGATACCTCATATAAGTGTAATCATACAGTATTTGTCTTTTTGTGACTAGCTTATTTTATTTAGCAAAATGTCCTCAAGATTCATCCATGTTGTAGCATGTGTCAGAATTTCCCTCATTTTTAAGGCTGAATAATATTCCATCATATGTATTTGCCACATTTTGTTTATCCATTCATCTGTTAATGAACAGTTGGGTTGCTTCCATCTTTTGACTATCATGGATAATGCCGTGGTGAGCATGGGTGTACAAATATCTCTGCAAGATCCTGCTTTCAATTCTTTTGGGTATATACCCAGAAGTGGAATTTCTGGATCATAGAATAATTCTATTAATATTTTGAGAAATCACCATACTGTTTTCCATAGTGACTCTACCATTTTTACATTCTCACCAAAAGTGTACAAGGGTTCCAATTTCTCCACATCCTTCATAACATTTATTTTCTGGGGTTTTTTTGATAGTAGCCATCTTAATGGACATGTAGATTTTATCTTTTTTCTTCTAATATGAATTTAAAACTGTGCCAATGACTTTAAAAGAAGTGCTTCCATTGGTAGTAGGCCAGTTGGCAGACCTTTAGTTGTACAGTGAAGCTCATGGACTAAGTTCTGGACTGCTGTTGGATGGAGTGTTCCATAATCATGTGTGTTCTTCTGGCATTTTTCAGTGATTATTACAATTTAATATTAATTGTCTCTAGTGTATTAGACTGGATTTTGAAAGGCGTGTTCTCGCTTTCTGAACTGCGATTGAGTGAAAACAAAACACTTCTATATTTATCTGCTTTCAACAGCTCAGCACTTTTGGAAATTAGCAAAAATGGAGAGACGATCTCTTTCAAATGTGTATATGTAGCACATCTTTTCATGATTAATTGAATTCCTTCGTTGAATTACATTTTTATTATGGTGAGGCATTTACTCTCTCACTCTTTATTATGTTGCAAAAAATATGATGCCTTCTCTATGGTTTCATTAGATGCAGTGTTATCTGAAAAAGAAAAATGACAGCAACTGCTGATTTAAATATGGTTTCTAATTCAGCACGAAGTTGTGACCTTGCCTTTTCTTTTTTGCAGATTGAAAGAATCGATCAGCTTTTCGCTGCTGGAGGTCTTCGTCACCTTATATTTTACTATCAGGACATGGAGGTAACAGAAACAGGTATCCAAACTTGGTGTGATGTAACCCACAAAAGTGTTGCTAGGTTCATCTGAGGATGGCATGAAGCAGAAGGCTACCCTCAGAGCTGACGGGGCCTCTTACGCTTCCATCTTGGCATATGGGACAAATGGGCCTCTGTGAGGTGAGGCCCAGGTTCCATTTTCTGCTCAAGGAGAGGGGGACAGATAATGATGGGTATCTAGCCTGGTTGTTCTAACTTTACTTGAGATATTTTGTCTCCCATTTCAGGCTGTGCTGGTAATTGAGGAAAAATAAAGTACTTTATATTTTGAGACTTCTTTTCCTTCCATGCTAGTTCATTCTATGCAGTTATGTTCTAGAACTTTTTATGGGCATCTGCTTCTTTTCTATATAGACACCATTTATTTTTAACGTAGGAATTGTTGCCAATGAGCATAATGAGTTTTCTACTTAAATACCACATTATGTTTATTTTCTACTGACGATGATTCAAAGGAGTAATATGGAATGACAAGTTTAGTTATTTTCACTTAAGAAAAATTTGCAAATTTTTGTGTGGATTAAACTGGCATATCCCATTCTACTTTTATGTGGATTCATATAATTTTAAAGCCAAACTAGGGATATAAACAAAAATCTTATGATTATATTATTATATTCATTCTTTTATTACCTTTTTGAAGAAAAAGGAAAATAGTTATTGCTCTTGGCATATAGTATGGCTAATGGTTTTTTGTTTAAAAACTGAGAAAATTATGCATGCATACTTTAAGTGATTGACACTTTTCTAGAATTATTCATCTGAAATTTTGTGGTCTTGTGCTCTCTCTCTGTGTCAAATAAAGAAATAAAATCTTTAAAAAAAAAAAGAAAGTTCATTATACTTTGAGTGAAAAATCGAAATAATACAGAAATTTCTAATTCTATCCCAGATTGCAAAACATAAAGTCAGATGAAATGTTGAGTTCATCCATGAAATGTGTGCTGGGTGAAGTAAGCCTTTGTGTGTAAATCTGACATTGAACAAGAAGGGTTCATGGGATGTAGACACAATGCAAGTTTATTTTTGTTTCCCACTCTCCCTCTAAACCTTTTCAGTGGGACTGCCTTTAATCTTTTGACCTTGGATTAAAATTCAGACCATTCCATGACTTTTCTGGATATTCTTAGGTAAGAAAAATTCCTATAGTTGCTTCACATTATAAGTACTATCTCAATTCAGAAACTAAAAAAAATATCCAATTGATCAAAATTAATTGATCTAAAGTTAAATATTCTTCACTCCTGGTCTTCCCCCTTCCTTCCACCCAGCAGGGACCTCAGAAGGCCAGTATTTGCTGTAGGAGAGAAGCATATGGTCCTCCTCTGTTTGTTCAGCTTATCCTTCCAGAAGCTCCTGTCCACATTGTGTTAACCACAGTTGCTGACTGCGTCAGGCTTGAAGCAGGGCAGGGAAAGAGGGGGAGAGGTGGGCAGGAGAGCCTGGACTTGACTGGCACTCTCACTGTCACAGTTGGCTGACCTTGATTCTCTGGGTCTTTGCTCTTGTGGGCCCTAGGTGGATCCTCCAGAGATGCTGCACATCCCACGGCGATGTGTTGTCCTCCCGATGAGAGCTATCTGCTGGTTATCTTTATGGACAGGTTCACTGTCAAAACCCCAGTCCAAGTCCCTAGCCCAGCTCTGTGGGGGGAGCCTAGAAAAGGGTTCCTCCAAGAGGTTTTTTTTTTTTTACTTAAAGATTTT